AATTTTTGACGGGGCCAAATGCCATTTGGATATTAGCATTCCTGAGAAAGCAGAAGCTCATGAGATTCACTTATATTGTCTGCCGAGTAACACCACCCATGAGCTTCAGCCGATGGACAAAGCTATATTTCGAGCATTTGAAGCTTATTGGGACGATGAATTGTTAAAGATAAACATCCTACACGTGATTTAAACAAGGAAAGATTTTCTGAAGTTTTCACACCTACATGGCAGAAAGCAATGTCGATTGGAAATATTACAAGCGGCTTTCGAGCTACGGGAATATGCCCTTATGATAAGGATGTTCTTCCCATTGAAGCATTTGCCCCAAGTCTTGCAACTGAGAAACCTTACCAGGAGACACCGCCGCTGCCGATGATTCGGAATATGATTCAGATGACTACCTGCCTTTAGGTGAATTGCGTAAAAAATTAATCCCTTTGAATAATTCCCTCGCGGAAGTGTTACCAACACCAGATCTAGTCAAAAAAAATCTGCTCCAAGACGTAAAGCTATAAATTACAAAGCAGTTGAAGTCAAGCGATCCGTATTTTTAAAGGAGGTGGAGTCTCAACTTGATCCCGTTCCAGTCTTATCGAATACCGCTAAATCGCCATCTGAATCTGTGTCTTCCATTGCATCAAAAACAAAAGAACATAACGAAGAATGGCACTGTGTGATATTCTACGAAGAGTATGTAGCAGATATGAGACGATGTGCTTCTTGTGGTTTTTGGGTCCATGAGGATTGTGCTGGTTTGACTGCGGACGATACTGAAAATTTTTTGTGTCCAGACTGTATGCCTTAAGTATTAGATTTATACTTAATACGATATTTTATCTTTGATACTGTTTTTTTAGTGTGTTACATTTATTTTTTATTCTATCAGTATTTTGTTGAACTGTTATTTTTTTTATCTCTCATTCAAATCTCATTATATGTCGTTGCAGATATTAAGGCCCAAAGGGATATTTTTGATACTTATGTTTGGATATCATTATTTTAATATTTTCTTTTTATTTTTGATTTTTTTTGTGTTTTGTTTATTCGTTGGACTTGTTTTTTGTTCATTTAAATATGGGCCTTATTATATGCACTTGCAAGCTTTAAGGCCCAGAAGACAATTTTGTTCGCGTCTCGACATACATGTATAAGCATGATTATTTTGTGTTCAAACATTACCATTATGTTAGTTTATACCCTTTTCTATTTTTTATAATAATAAAAGTTTGAAAAAGTAAATTTCTCTCGTAGATATTAAATATAATTTCTTAGGTGGGCCTTATTACCCCCGGGTACCTTATTTGAAAAATTTGAAGGTTTGAGACTTTTGAAAAATCCTGAAAGTTTTTATAATTTTGGAAAGTTTGACAATTTGGTATAAATGCAAATGTTAAATCTCCACTTGATCATAATCACGACTGAGTTACTATTGATTTAAAATCCGGGGATTGATTAACCCCTCAATCGTCACTCACCCCTCAAGGGTCGACGATAAATGTGGACCTTAGGTCCCATTGAGCCACTTGTTAATAGCTAATAATTGTCATAATAACTAGTTATATAATTTCCAATTTACATGTATTTTATTAATTGGACTTTATAAATCTTCTTACTTTATTCATATTCAATCGATATAAATCATATGTTGCGAAAATAGTGAGACATACCTATATCTATAAATATTGTTGTTCATTTGATCGGAAAAATAAAGGGAACTTATATTTTAACCTTCTATCTAATGTTAAAAAATATAATAGTTCGATATTTATTTTACATAACAGTCGACATCAGCATCTAGGACCAGAATAGAAGAATCAAACGAGTCCGAATTCGATGGGTTTGCGGCGATTTCTTACAAGGTTCACATGACCACCTTCCAGCCTCACCATCAGATCAGCTCCATGACATAATAATATCGCTACGAGTATGTCATATTAGAGGCCTGCCATATTGGATTTAGGTTGACGTCGATTTACTTATTGTGCTTCGCTTATCCAACCTTTTCGTTTCGTACTCATCTCATCTATAGCTCTGCTTTCTGTTATAAGTAAAGTGATGGAGAGGTGCATAAATCGCGAGCTTCTGGACTACCTCGAACGTCAAAGCATGATTACGAGAAGCAGTATGGTCTCAGGCACCCACAGGGACTTCCTAGCTTACGTCACGCAATTGTGGAGTAAACTCATCCAGTCTTATAGTGAGGCCCATGTCGTTGCTCTTGACATCACGAAAGCGTTCGATCAGCTGTGGCACGCTGCCCTCTTAAGCAAACTTCCATCCTATGGTCTCCCAGAAAAGCTTTGCAGATGGGTGTCTGACTTTATCTCTGGCCGCAAGATATCCGTCGTAATTGACGGGTTCTCCTCTTCATCTCACAACGTCAACGCGGGTATTCCAAGAATCTGTCTTGGCTCCGACACTGTTTCTCTTACATTATCTACGACCTTCTTTCCTGTACGATCAACCCAATCCACAGCTTCGCTGATGACAGCACTCTACATGCAGGAATTCACAGTGACAAGCCGATCTCTGCCGCTGAGCTGGAAAAAAGAAGGCTAGCGACGACATCCTCGCTAACAAGAGACCTGGAGGCTATCGCTGCTTGGGGACGCAACATTCTTGTACAGTTCAATGCTTCCAAAACGCAGTACTGTACTTTGACGAACAAAAAGCGTCCTAGCGCTCATCCGGTTTCGATGGATGGCCGAGTTCTGTCAAAGCCATTCAGTTGGTCGGAGTCCAGATCACCGAGGACCTGATTTGGCACGAACACATCTCGTCAATAGCTGCAGCTGCTGGGAAAAAGCTAGGCTATTTGTTTAGGGCTACACGTCGCAGCAATTGGGCCTCTGCTACTCCACTACGTGGAAAATTTTGCGACAGGATTTGGGTGTATAACCTTATAAGATACAGCTGGTGCAAGAATTGAAGCCACACGACCTCCCACAAAGTTTCCAATTTGGTGAATTGGCGCTGGCAAAGTTGGAGGAAGATCCACATTTTTATCGAAAAATTGTGTTCAGCGACGAAGCTCATTTCTGGTTGAATGGGTACGTTAGCAAGCAAAATTGCCGCATCTGAAGTGAATACCAGCCAGAAGCATTGCAAGAGCTACCAATGCATCCCGAAAAAATCACTGTTTGGTGTGGATTATGGGCCGGTGGCATCATCGGGCCGTACTTCTTCAAAGACGACAATGGCCGGAACGTAACTGGGAATGGCAAGCGCTACCGTGCGATGATAACAAACTTTTTTTTGCCCAAAATGGAAGAGCTGGACTTGGCTGACATGTGGTTTCAACAAGACGGTGCCATATGCCACACCGCACACGAAACAATGGCCCTATTGAGAGGCGAGTTCGGTGAACAGTTTATCTCACGTTTGGGGCCCGTCAATTGGCCGCCTAGATCGTGTGATTTAACGCCGTTGGACTATTTCTTGTGGGGCCATCTTAAAGCTAATGTCTACAGGGATAAACCAGCAACGATTGACGCACTGGAAGCCAGTATTGAAGCATTTATTCGTGAGATACCGGCCGATATGTTGGAGAGAGTGTGCCAAAATTGGACCTTGCGCATGGGCCATCTAAAGCGGAGCCGCGGCCAGCATTTACATGAAATAATGTTTAAACATTAAATTATATCGACCGTTCTATCTACTCAAATAAAGATTTAATCGTTTTTTCAAATTTTTTGTGTTAAATGGCCGTTTTGCGGCGGCGGTCGCCATATTGGATTTATAATTACAGCGCTTTACTTGTATTTCTCTCATCAAGCCCTTTTACCTGATACCCGTATCATAGGGATTACTATGGAATGTCGAAGAGAGGCCCAATGGTGAACTAGTTAGCATTCTTCGCCTCTCCACCATTACTGCCATAGAAATGTCTTTTATATCACCTTGTATACAATTAATAATTCGTTATTTAGTGCAAGCTACTTTAGTGTACCGTCGTATATCAGCCTTATCTGAATACCTACATAAATATGGTGTCTTACTTTCTTTTGGCAATCTATCTATTTGTATTTAATTATAAATGAAGCGTTTCGATAGTTTTCAAAGAAGCAGTATTAGTGTCAACAAACAATACGAAAGATATTTTGCAACAGTTAGTAAAATACTGAACACTTTATTTACGCCGAAAGAGTTCCAAAAATAACTAATCTCAATCGGTGTTCGTCAATGAAATTTTCCGCTAACAATGTGCGGCTTTAATCTCAATAACCTTCTTGAAGAGTGTGTATAAATACATTTTATAGCAAGAGACAAACAATTTGCTTACGAAAAAAAATTTCGGTCATGTCGGCTGACTCAGTACACGAAAATACACATTTTCAGGAAACATCAAAAATTTGTTCGAAAAATTAGGAATATTCGCAAATGCTGTCTTCTTCATTTTTGATTGGACAATACTTAAATTTTCAGCTCTCTTGGTTATGTAAATCTATGTAAAACTGTGATGCCAGTTTTGGAAGAGACGTCCACAACTGCTGATTTTTTTTTCTTTTAATTCCTGGCGAGGAAACATTGTAATCGCAATAAACTTCGAAAATGGGATATGTAAGCGTACACAATATTTTGATCACTTTTCTACATGTGAGACAACCCTGTAAATGGTTTGAGTGACACTTGGAATGCTAAGAAAGGCACTGCTGGCAAACACATTTCAACAACCACTCACGACCCTGGTAAATTAGTTCATTATTAACATAGCGATAGACAGTGAGTTGTGCATGCCATGAGTCGCTAGAAGATGGAAGGTACTCAAAATGATTTCCCAAAGATACGCTTTATCTTTATCGACCCTATCTCGCCAAGAAAGGACGAAAGGACATCTCCCCTGTCGTGACGTCACTAAGTAAGTGGTTTTGAAATTATCCTGACGTCGTTTACGTACTACCCCCGTAGTAAAAGTGAAAAGGTACCGGGTAGTAAGCGATGTCTTTTAAGTTTTGCATATGGAAATAAAACGACACGGTAGGTAGTTTTAAATGACTTTATTGTTTTTCGAAGTATTCTCCACGAAGATTAATACACATCCGCATGCGCTTGAACCAATTTTCGAAGCACTTATTCCACTCGTTTACTGGCAGATCCAAAACGGCATTTTTGAATGCGTCAACTGCTTCGTCTGGTGACTGGAACCTTTGACCACGCAGTCTGCGTTTAATTTTCGGGAAAGTTAAGAAATCGTTAGGAATTAGATCGAGACTATATGGAGGATGGTCCAATAATTCCACGTTTTCTTCCATTAAATATTGCCTTGTTTTTTGGGCTGTGTGCGAGCTTGCATTGTCTTGGTGGAGGATGATTCTTCTTTCGGGGTTGATTTTTCGATGCTCGGTAATGACTTTTGGCAAACAAATGGTGGTAGTAGTATTAGTTCTTTGCTCATTAAGAGGAATTGTTGCAATATGACCCGCTTTTGATACAAATATCATGACCATCTTTTTCGAAACACTTCGAGAACGGATGACTTTTGTTTTCTTTTCTTCACCTTGGAACACCCAAACAGCCGACTGTCATTTATGTTCTGGTTCATAACAGTAAATCCACGATTCATCACCACTAACAATGCTTCACTCATTTTTTGAGTTTCCGGAATTTTTTTACACCAATTAACCCTGGCTGCTTTCTGCACTTCAGTAACAGGTGGGGTATCCAACGAGAAACTAATTTTCTTACTCCTAATTCTTCATGTAAAATTTTTTGAATCGAGGTCTTTGAGATCTTCAAGGACGTCTCACTCTCGCGATATGTCACATGTCTATTTTCAATGATGAGTTTGCGCATAGCATCGACGTTTTCCTGGGTGACTGCCGCTTTTGGTGCACCCACCCTGGGATCGTCGTTAAGACTCACTCGACCACGTTTGAATTCTCCATACCAACGGGAAATTGTCTACTGATGTGGCGCTTCGTTGCCGAAAACAGACAGTAACTCAGGAAGGCATTCTTGTTGCGATAATTGTCTCTGAAAGTTGTAATAAATTACGGCGCGAAAATGTTCTCGGTTGAATTTCATTTTTCTAATGACTTGGTGACACTTAAAAATTCACTCTAGTGAGAACTTTGAATTTAAGTTTACTAAAGAGTGAGGTTAAGATTCAGTACTGTGTACAATGTTTCATTTTTGGTCACGACTTGTGAATCACCCTGTATAACTCGGAGACTACCGCTCGGATTTTGATGAAGTTTTGGCAAATGATTACTTCTGTGCCAAGGATGAAAAATCTTTATCATTTTTGAAAATCAATAATCAAAATTCGTTTTTTCACATTCGGGAGGTTCTTGGTTATTTTTATGAATCACGTTGTAAGGGTTGAAAACTGGAGGTTGGGCGTTGGAGAGTATTGTCAGTGAAACATGTTCTATCATGCACTTGAATATAAACTACCGCATTTTCTTCAGTTCAACAAGTACTACAAATCTGCCCATGAAATTAAAGTCAAGGAAAATCATAAGGAAAATCTATGTCCGGGATCGTAAAACCCGTAGCAATATTAGCATTTTTTATCAATATCACTCATGCAGAACATAAGGATATCTATGACTTCCCACTGATTGGTTCATTCACACTTTATTACACACTAATAACTCAGTTAATTAATAATACATGTCGTAAAAATATTTATAGTAGTACTACGATTCTTTGGATATTCGTAGTTCCATCTGGTCATTCGAATAGATTAAGGTTACCGATCAGTATGAGTCACTTTAAGTGTTATGTATGTCGTAATAAGTTCCTTTACCAAATATTCCCATAGACCAGTTTATCTGAGCTGCAATTGAATTCCATTCAAAAGGATTATTGGTTCGAACTGAGAAGTGTTTGCCTATACGTCAGTTAGGCGGGGATTACGTTTATAACCGCTAATATCGGTATTACGTATCTTGAAAAGTGATATTACGATATTTGACATTTTTTTTGACTTTGAAGTTGAGTCATTAATTTTCAGATAATGATTCTAGAAGGAAGATAAACCAAAATATGTGTGTAAAAATAAAAAAAAAAAAAAAAAATGTTACCTTGTTTTATAAAGTATCCTACCGAGAAGTATTTCAGTGCGGACCTGTATTTGATCGTGAGGTCTTGGAGCACCGGCATGCCGTCACCTGATTTACGAGCCCGTTGTGCTACATTAACAAAGGCACGAGGGGTTGGTTGCACTCGATTGGGAAACCGATCCGCATAAACATGTGCCATTTTTTATTTCGTTTGAGCCACGCAACAGACACCACTATTCACTCACACGTTACCGACTGACACTGACTGTATACAAATGAATAAAATAATTGTAAAAACATCGTTCCAAATTCTTTCGCTTTTTTGTTTCCGATGCGATGAACCGATAAGGCGGATTATATCCGTTGTCGCCAAACACGAGCACATAATATTATTATTGAGACAGGGCGGTACTCAAACTTCCAAAGGGCTATAACTTTGTTACTCTAATTTTACCAGAAAAATGGTAAAGGAAAAAACATTTCTTTTGATCAGATCTACTCACTGTTAAAATAAATGACTCAACTTCGAAGTCACCCTGTATAAGTTTTTCTACAAGACGTCAACTTAGCACTAGCTGTTGTACCCCTGATGTGTACTTGTTACGTAGCTGTACGTGTTGCCTAAACGTAATGATGCTTCAGCTACCAATGATTGGCTCTGATGTAGTGTAAGATCTGCTTCAGAGATGGCGCATTATTGGAGGGCTAAGCTGTAAGTTGTTACTATAGCTGGAAGCAAAAGGCAGTGCATAAGTGCATAGTGAGGATTTGTGTGCTGATAATTTGTGTTTGGTTTCTTGTCTTAAATACACGTACTTGAGGTGTATGCTAAAAATTAGTATCGCATCCGCTTTTTCTAATTCAACCTGGAAATTGACTATGCAAATTTGCTGAATTACGAAAAAGAAAGCGTTAAGAAAAGAAAATCCCTGGTTGGTGAAGTATATTAAAACTAACAGGTGAGAAAATATGGTACATACAGGAATATTTATGAAACGTAAAAAAGTTATTACATATTTTTAATTTCCATTTACAAAATGTGATGCGTCATTCCTAATTTTTCTGTGATGCGGCTTAATTACGAGATAAAGATTTTTCATCCTTGGCATAGAAGTAATCATTTGCCAAAATTTCATCAAAATCCGAGCGGTAGTCTCCGAGTTATACAGGGTGATTCACAAGTCGTGACCAAAAATGAAACATCATACACAGGATGTTTTTTTATTTTTAAACTTCAGTACCCCGTATCTCTTTAATGAAGCCCTCGATGCAAAAATGTTACATAGAAGACCCCCTTGAAATGCCGTGCTGTGTATGATGTTTCATTTTCATCATCACGACTTGTGAATCACCCTGTATATCGACCAAGGATTAGCCGACAGACAAACCGACAGACAGATAGTCATAACGACGGAAATGAGAGACACGTTTTCGTGAATCAAAACACAATATCTATAGGATCAGCAGATGATAGACTGATAAACATGAGAAGACAACTATCCCACCGTACACGCTTACGAGGTATGTCTTTTAAGTTTTGCATATAGAAACATAGTAGGCCGCGCGGATCGAACGTCAGTTCTGAATCTTAACCTCACTTTAGTAAACTTAAATTCAAAGTTTCACATCAATACGTGCGCTGTTCTCACTACAGTGAATTTTTAAGTATCACCAAGTCAGAAAAATGGAACTCAACCGAGAACATTTTCGCGCCATAATTTATTACAACTTTCAGAGACAATTATCGCAACAAGAATGCCTTGCTGAGTTACTGTCTGTTTTCGGCAACGAAGCGCCACATCAGTCGACAATTTCCCGTTGGTATGGAGAATTCAAACGTGGACGGGTGAGTCTTAGCGACGATCCCAGGGGGGGGTGCACCAAAAACGGCAGTCAGCCAGGAAAACGTCGATGCTGTGCGCAAACTCATCATTGAAGATAGACATGTGACATATCGCGAGATTGAGGCGTCCTTGAAGATCTCAAAGACCTCAATTCAAAAAATTTTACATAAAGAATTAGGAGTAAGAAAATTAGTTTCTCGTTGGATACACCACCTGTTGAATGAAGAGCAGAAAGCAGCCAGGGTTAATGGGTGTCAAAAAACGCTTGACTGTTTCAATTCCAGAAACTCAAAAAATGTGTACAGCATTGTTAGTGGTGATGAATCGTGGATTTACTGTTATGAACCAGAAAATAAACGACAGTCGGCTGTTTGGGTGTTCCAAGTTGAAGAAAAGCCAACAAAAGTCATCCGTACTCGAAGTGTTTCGAAAACGATGGTCGTGATATTTGTATTAAAAGCGGGTCATATTGCAACAATTCATCTTAATGAGCAAAGAACTAATACTACTACCACCAGTTGTTTGCCAAAAGTCATGACCGAGCTTCGAAAAATCAACCCCGAAAGAAGAATCATCCTCCACCAAGACAATGCAAGCTCGCACACAGCCCAAAAAACAAGGCAGTATTTAACGGAAGAAAACGTGGAAATATTGGACCATCCTCCATATAGTCCCAATGTAAGTCCTAACGATATCTTTACTTTCCCGAAAATTAAAAACAGACTGCGTGGTCAAAGGTTCCAGTCACCAGAAGAAGCAGTTGACGCACTCAAAAATGCCGTTTTGGATTTGCCAGCAAATCAGTGGAATAAGTGCTTCGAAAATTGGTTCGAGCGCATGCAGATGTGTATTAATCTTCGTGGAGAATACTTCGAAAAACAATAAAGTCATTTAAAACTACCTACCGTGTTGTTTTATTTCCATATGCAAAACTTAAAAGTCATCCCTCGTACATTCAACGCCGGTGCAGTGCTGATTTCCCATAATGCATCTCAAAGTTTGTGAAAACGCAAACAAAAAACGGGGAAAATCGTAATGTATAACTATGAACCTAACCTCTCTTCAGGAAGGACAACACAAATAAGGTCTGGCACAGCTAATAGATATACGAGGAGGTACCCAAAAATAGCCGGAATAGCATTGCAGTGGGCGGAGCTTGTGTAGTACACATTTCTGTCCCTAGAGGCGTACAGCGCAATTCATTACCAGCTCAGTGCCACCTGAGTTGTCGATCTGGCTTGTTTAGTTCCTATGTAGTCATTATTTTTACTATACTACAACTATTTAAAACTGTAATGACTCATACGCATGATCAAGACGTGATCAGAGCTCGATCCCGGCTTCCTTTCAGTACAGCCGTATAGCGTACGACATATGTCGTTTCTGTGGCTTTGCGGTGGTCAACAGCACAGACAGAGATGGAAATAATGGCTGATTGTTCTCCGCCGGTAGAACCAATGAAATCAAAGACGCGCCTCGACCGGCAGACTCATAGGCGTCGGCAACGCATTGGAACGTGTTTCGTTGAGCGATCGCATATTGTGTGTTTTTATAAGAATTGTTGTGTGATTGTTATTGTTGTGGTCTCTGTGGTTACTGTTTTGGTTATACTTAACCATAGAGAGTACAAATGGCACGAGTGGAAGTACTGAAAGCCAGGGAACAAGTAGACGGCTTCGTAAAGCACTGAAGAGGGACGCGAAAGAAATTGTGCTCAACGTGTTCAATTATCTGAACAGAACTATGTCGCAGGGAGATGCACTTGCGCGTTGTGAAAGTATGACAGGCGTTCCAGAGTGGACCATTTGCAGGGTGGTGCATGAAAAGAAGAAAACTGGAGCTACTACTGACAAGGAAAATGAAATTATACCCCAAATGAGCGTCGAGGTAATGAGGAAATCCCTGCACGAAATTCATTTTCGTTACGAAACGCGTAATCGGAAGTCAGTATTGGCCTGGCGTCGAAAATACCTACGCGAAATGATTGAATATAGGCGACAAAGCAGAAAAATCTATTATTTGGACGAGACATGGGTAAATGCAGGTCACACAGTTAAAAAAACCTGGATAGACAAAAACGTAGTGAGTAACCGACAAGCAAGCATTGAAGGTTTGTCAACAGGTCTTCGTGGACCGTCAGGGAAAGGTCAAAGATTGATCGTAACTCATATTG